GGCCCAAGGAGCTCGTGGGCTGGGGCGGGCTCGACCTGACCTGGGCACCGCGGTGTGCTCACCCCTCCTCCCTGCCTCCTCCCAGGGTGGGAGAATGTGTATGGCTTTGACATGTCTTGCATCAAAGACGTGGCCATCAAGGAGCCCCTGGTGGATGTGGTGGACCCCAAGCAGCTGGTCACCAACGCCTGCCTCATCAAGGTGAGGGGATGGGCATGGCCAGGTGTCCCCCAGGGTTGGAACCAAAGGGCCAGCACCTGTCCCGCATGTGACACATCAGGGCGCGGCGTGCCGGCCTGAGGTCTTGGGTTCCTCGCCCGTCAGCCAGGGTAATGCTAGGGGCCCAGCGGAGCTGTGTCTTCCATTAAAAAGCTCCGAGCCAGCCAAGGCCAGTGGTTCTAAGATGGAACCCATTGAGCTGGGCTTGCCCTGCCCAGGGACACTCTTTCCAGAGGGAACACAGGCGGCAGCTCAGACCCCTGGGTGGGGCTCACCTGAGCGCAGCGAATGCCAGAAGCCGGGCCAGGAGCGAGTTTATCATAAGTCAAGGATACGGGCTGTGATCCATTGTTGAGCCCCTCTCTCCACGTCCCACACGTCACTCTGTGAGGCAGGCAGAACCACGTGGAGGGAGTGAGGAGAGGAGACGGGAGACGAGCAGGCGCCCTGACCGGCCCAGCCTCTGAGGCTGCATCAGAACCAGGGCTTTGTTCTGAGCGAGTCCAGGAGCTGCCCGGGGTTTAAGCAAGGGCTTGGCACAATCTGATTGGCTTGTTTTACAGCTGTCACCTTGGCTGATGGATGTGTCCGGCTCAGTTATGTGGGCGGGGCGGGGGGGATAGAAGCAGGGAGCCCCATGAGGAGGCTGCTGGGGCAGGGGCTAGGCCATGGGGAGGGGTGAACGGGCAGTTCTTCAAGAAAAGTGGTAGGTCCAGGAATAAACTCGGGTTTGAGGTTCGGATGGGGAGAGGAGGGAACAGGGACTCCACCCCCCGCCCGCCCCCCCCTCCCCCGTTTGCCTTGGACCCTGGGCCGGACGCGGCGGCGTGGGGCTCATGGGCCTGTCCCGCAGGAGGTGGACATCTACACCGTGAAGGTCGAAGACCTGACCTTCACCTCGCCCTTCTGCCTGCAAGTGAAGCGGAACGACTACGTGCACGCCCTGGTGGCCTACTTCAACATCGAGTTCACGCGCTGCCACAAGAGGACCGGCTTCTCCACCAGTGAGTCCGCGGGAAGGGGCCGCCTGCTCTGCCTTAGTTTCCCCACCCGCGGAACCTAGGCAGGACCCTCTGAGGGGTGAGGAGGGGGAAGGGATTCACGGGCAGGTGGACCACAGTCAACGCTCCGTAAACAGCCATTGGTGTGGGGGGTGCCAGGCAGAGGGAAGGGCAAGACCAAGTGGGGGCGCAGGGGCCAGTCGGCTGACCCGACTCTGCCCTCAGGCCCCGAGTCCCCGTACACACACTGGAAGCAGACCGTGTTCTACATGGAGGACTACCTGACGGTGAAGACGGGCGAGGAGATCTTTGGCACCATTGGCATGCGGCCAAACGCCAAGAACAATGTGAGGCTCGGGGGCACCTGGGGGTGGACTATGGAGGCACCTCTGCTTGTCTGAGGCTCTTGGGGGTCTGTCTATGGAACACGGATTGTATTGAGCACCTACGGGCAGTGGGCCCTGGGGACCCAGCCACGATCAGGCTGAACCCCTGCCCTCCCGATGTTCCCGATCTAGACATGGGTCACGGTCAGTGGTAAACGACAGCTGGACAGCGGGAGGTGACTGTGCCAAGCTGGCGAGGGCGGGCCAGCTGAGAGGGCGGGGGGGAGAGCCTGGTTTCCCAGCCTGGGCCTGGGGATCAAGGGAAGCAAAGGAGGGCCGGGCCGTTTGTTCCTCCTGCGCCCCTGGCAGGACGCAGCTGCCATTGGCTGGGAGGCTGGGGGCTGGAGGCAGGTCTGGGGCAGAGTCAGGAGCTCCAGCTCAGCCTCATGGGAGGAGGAAGGGTCTGATTCCTGAGGGGCGTGGCCTGCGCCAAAACATCAGGCCAGTGTGTAAGGCTGGATGGTGCCCAGGGAGCCTGGATGGAGGGGAGTGGCCCAAAGGCACCCACTTTCAAAGTCAGGGAGACAAGCCCGTTAAAGCAGGGACTCGCAACCAGGGACTGTTTGCTGTGCCCCAGGTGACACTGGTCGCTAAGAGACGTGGGGGTATTACAAACTGGAGAGGGTGCTCCCCTCTGCTTCCTCCTGACCTGGACAGTTCTGCCTCTCTGCCTGCCCTGTCTCCGGTCCCCTCATGTCCTCCCTCTCCCCACAGCGCGACCTGGACTTCACCATTGACCTGGACTTCAAGGGCCAGCTGTGTGAGCTGTCCTGCTCCACCGACTACCGGATGCGCTGAGACGGCGCCCGGTGTCTCCCACCCCAGCCCGGCCGGCCCTGCACAGGCCCAGCGGCTGTGGCATTTCTTAGGCGGTTTCAGGATCCCCCTTCCTCTCCTTTTCTCAGAAGGGAGTGACAGGGGCCTGGGCCTGGGATGGGAGGGTTGGGGGGAGGGCACATTGTGACTGTTTTTCATAACTTATGTTTTTATATGGTTACATTTATGCCAATAAATCCTCAGCTGGGACAGCTTGGCTTCCGGGGGGCTGGGGTTCCGTGTGCAGGTGCTAAGGTTTCAGTCTGAGCAGCCAGGAGTACCCGGATGATGGCTGTAGGTCTCTGTCCTCACTTGTGTCTTGTTCTGTCTCACCACAGCCCTCTGAGTCTTGTCCCAACTCGCCTCTTGCTCGCTCCCAGGATCTCCCTCCCCCCCTGGGGGGAGTGAGTCTGTCCCCCCAGTCCCCTCTCCTGCCCCTGAGGCCCTGTTATCTCTCGTCCCCACTGGGCATGGCTCTGTGCCCAGCTGCACTGCCAGGCTGGTGGAGGATTGGGGTGTGGGTTCCCAGTATAGCTGGGCCCTTAAGCTTCTCAAAAGGCCATTTCCCTGCCTCCCCCAACACACACGATTCCTCTGTTTTTTTCTGTCCAGGCCCCTCCAAGGCCATGCCAGGGCTGACTGGCAGTGAGTTCTGTCCTGCCCTCAGCAGCTAGGAAACTGAGTTGCGGTGGAGTTGCACTGGGGGTCAGAATTCCTTCTGGGGGTGTGTGACCTAGGGTGGGGGTCCCACCTCAGGGTAGCAGAGCCTCCCCACCTCAGAGGTGGGCACCAAGGTCCCACTGACCTTCATAGCGCCCCTGCTGCAGGCACGGTGTCCTCATCCACCACCCTCCCCCATGGCCCTGTGCACAGAGCCCCCATCCCCCAGGACCTGGACCACTCAGCACAGCATCCCTGTCTCCACAGCGCCTGCTCCGCCTGCTTCCGTACAGCTGAGCCCTAGGCTTGCAGGCAGCTGATCGTTCTTCTAGGATGGTGTTCACACTGGCAGTGCTGAGGCTCGGGCTCTGTCCCTATCCCCAGGGGCTTTAGGTTCCGGAGTCTCCCTGGGTGAGGGTGAGGTCTGGTCTATACTGGAGCCCAGAGCGTCCCCTTCCCCACCCCTTTCCTTGGAAGCAGATGCTGACGCCACTTGAAAGTGTCAGCTGTCCCGTCCCTCTTCCCTAGGCCTTAGGATTCCCTCTCCTGAGGCCTGGGCGCACCAGCACACCCATGAGGGCTCCCTAGGAGCCGTGGAGGAAGGAGGTGGAGATCTGGGTGCTAATCGTGCCTCTCTGGCTTGGTGTGGCCTCAGAGACTTCGGCCTGTTTTACTCTCTCGGGAGGTAAAACAGGCCTTAGGCTACATCTCACCCTGGAAGGTTATCCAGACCAGGGGGAGGGGGCGGGGCTGCCCTGCGCAGGGGCAACTTCACTCACCGATTTTTCTGGTGACCAACACCCACCTGCTATTGCTTCTAGCTTCCTCCACCCTGGGGGACCCCGAGTCCTTGGGCAGGTGGGAAAGGCTGGTGGTGTCAGGGACATGCCTGCAAGGAGACCTTGAAGGGCATGCGCCCTCCTCAGGCCAAGGCTTTCAGTCTCAGAACAGGAAGGCATCTCAGAGCTGCCCTGTCGGATACTGAACCCCATTTTCCTGTTTGTACCTCAGTATCACGCTCCTCTGTGGCCCCTGTTCCCTGGGCACATGCCAAATATACCACCTGCTGGAGACCCGATACTGGCCCCGCTCTGCCTCCAAGGAAAGTTGGGCTATGGAGTTCTAGTCTAGTTGGTCTCCTGGACCTGTGGCAATGAGGCCTGCGCAGTGCCCAGCTTGTTGGGTGACCTTGGCACCTCTCTGCACCTCCCCTAGCCTCAGTTTACCCATCTGTATATTGGGGCCACGACCCCAAGTTTTCCCCTAGTTCCACATGGGCTTGCCCAGATATCTTCCGCCCAACAGCCTCCCCCTCCCCTCCCCCAGCCCCCGCTGTGACTGGGCGGGACCCAGGGGGACCCCAGAGCCAGCACGGACAAAGAATACCAATGTCCAGAGCCAAATAAAAGATGATCTCCATGTTTCAGTCTCTGCTCTTTCTGGTCTGACCATCTGAGTCCAGCCCCTAACACATTTTCCCTCGTGGAAGTCCCTTTGACTGTCTAACTTGAATCCAACCGGCTGTAGCCGCCTCCCTCGCACCAGCGCAGTTGCACCTTGTGCGGGTAGTTTTGTGGGCCTATCGGGTCCCAAAGCAGCTCTCCTCCCTCCCTGGGATGGGAGGACGGAGATTCGCTTCAGCTCCAGCTGGATGCCCCACGTGCGTGACTAGCCTACCGGAGGTCGGCTGCGAATTCCAAGCTGAGCCTCGTTCCCGGAAGAGAGAGGAGCGAGCTCCTTGAGAGAGAGCGGACTGGGGAGCCCGAGAGCCTGGGGCTCAGGGTAGATGCTGCGTAGAAGGCTGGGGGCGAATGGGGAATGGGGCGGGGTAGGAAGACCGCTAGGACTCCACGCTGGGAGGGGATTGGAAGCTGGGGTCCGAGGGGGCGGGGATAGGACGCAGAGCAATTGGAAGGGGGCGGGGATAGGACGCCGAGATTGGAAGGGGGCGGGGACAGAACCAGGGACTGGAATACCGGGGAGGCACACGCGAGACAGGAATCGGGGTTCCTGTGTGTGGGGTGATCCGGGGCGTGCAGGAACTCCGGAAGCCCACCGACCAAATCGTGGACTCGTCGCCCTGGGTTGCCTATGTCTATGCAAGTGGGAGACAGGCCTGGCGCTCCAAATCGGGGGTCGGGGAGGCGTCATCCGGCTTGGTCCCCAGGATCCTATCGGCGGACCCCCGACCCAGCGTAGTGAGTACGGGACCGGAGGGGCCCGAGCTGCCGCGGGGGCTGGAGGCCTGTGTCCCGGTTTGGGCAGAAGAGCTTCTCCATCACTTGTCCTCGAAGCATCCCTGGCTGCGAGGCATGCGCAGTAGGGCGCGCCCTCCCCCATCCCCTCTAGCCCCTGTCGAGGGGGAGGGGACGCTGGGTGAATTTATAGACAGTTCCCCCGCCCCCACCCCACCCGGCCTTGGAATGGGAAACGGAAACGGGGCGGACAGTGCCAGCCTCTGGCAGGTGTTTGTTTCAAATGGGTCTCGGACTGATATTTATCTCGGAGACCCCGTAACTCTCCCTGGACGGATTTCTCCCCTCCGCCCCCGAATTTGAAAGTCCTGTATGGGGAGGAGGCACTGCCCCCGCACCAGCCTCAGCAGAGCCTCAGAGAGGTAAACGCGAGGTAGCCCTCCGCCTCGGTGTGTATTCATTTCACAGAGGTCCCCAACTGAGGGTCCCCCCAACACCGAGTGCTTGGCCGGGACCCTCAAGACCCTTAGGAAGGGTGAGCTGGCGTCCTCTACGCCTGGGGTCCTGGACTCCTGGGTCTGGGGGAGCCGCGAGCTGGGGGCTTAGGGAGTGACTCTGTCCTCCCCCAGGGGCCCGGCGGGACATGGCTGAAGCGCACCAAGCCGTGGGCTTCCGACCCTCACTGACCTCGGACGGGGCGGAAGCGGACCTCAGTGCCTCGGCGCTGCAGGACATCTACCTGTCCGGACTGCGCTCCTGGAAAAGGCATCTCTCCCGGTTCTGGGTGAGGAGGGCTGCGGCTCGGTTTCCTTCCGGGGATCCCGTTACCTGTTTCCGGGCTGCCCGAGGCCCACCTCTGGCACCCAGGCGGCCCCCCTCCTGGGAAAGCTGTCCGCTCCCAGGACTTCTGAAAGCTGCTTTCTGGTCTGTGGCTCACTTCAGGGATCCTCAGCCTCACCCACTGGGAACCCCTGTTTACCGCTTGCACCCACTTCTGGGACCCCCACTTTCCCCACGCCTCCAGACACAACTTGCACCCCAATTTCTAGAGCTCAGTGCCCTTCCCATGGTTCACTTCTCATCTTCCCCTTTCATCTGCAGGCTTTAAAGTGGGTGCTCCCGCCTGGCACGGGGGAGCTCAGTGGTTGAGTGTAACCTGGGTTAGTTTACTCCCCACCCCTGGTCTGGGGCATGCTGGAGGCAACTAGTTGATGTGTCTCTCTCACATCGATGTTTCTCTCTCTTTCTCTCTCTCTCTTTCTCAAAAGCAATGAAAAAAATACCCTCAGGTGAGGATTAACAAAAAAGAAACAAAAATAACCACATGTGCCTGTAACGTTTCCTGCCAAGCCAAAGGAAGACAGACTGTCAAGTACATAAATCCCCCAGGAGAAGTAGAGCAGCAGTAGAAAGGCTCACTGTGGTGACATTTCTTGCGCACCTGCCGAGTGCCTGGCTCTGAGCTGAGCCGTGCAGGCCCTTCCCCAGGCCCCTTTTCTGCTGTATTTTTCTCCCTAGCACCTGGCGCTGTCCGACACACTGCACTGAGGCCTTCCCTTACGCAGGCATTATCTCTGTCCCCCGTGACCGCAGGAATCTTGCTATCTGGTCACTGCTGTGGGGCCCCAGTTAGCATTTGTGGAATGACAGTGTCTCATCCGGCCCTTGTGACAGCTCAGTGAGGCAAGTTCCGAGATCGCTCCCATTCCACAGGGGAGGACACAGAGAGGGCACGTGCTTGCCATCACTCGGCCAGTTAGTGACAGAACGGAGGGTGGACTCCAGAGCCCAGGTTCTAAAGCCTGATTTCTGAGAGAAAGAGGTCGCTTGAGCCGGGATGGTGATGCCCCAGCTAATGGTCGGTGGTAGCTTTTATCCTGTCTTAACTTTGCTCTCTGTGTGATCTTGAAGCTGTGTTGTTTTGTTTGCTTGTTTTGTTGTTTTTATATTTTTAAAATATACTTTATTGATTTTTTACAGAGAGGACGGGAGAGGGATAGAGAGTTAGAAACATCGATCAGCTGCCTCCTGCACAACCCCTACTGGGGATGCGCCCGCAACCAAGGTACATGCCCCTGACCGGGATCGAACCTGGGACCCTTCAGTCCACAGGCCGATGCTCTATCCACTGAGCCAAACCAGTTAGGGCTGTTTTGTTGTTTTAAAGCCTCATCCAAGGATGTTTTTCCCATTGGTTTTTAGAAAGTGGAAGAGGGAAAGACAGAGAGAAATATTGATGTGATAGAAACACATCGATTGGTTGCCTCCCTTAACAAGCCCGGACCAGGGCCCGGGCCAGGGAGGAGCCTGCCCTTGACTGGATTTGAACCCTGGACCCTTCAGTCCATAGGCTGATGCTCTATCCACTGAGCCAAACCCACCAGGGCTTGTTTTTCATGTAAAATGAGATAATCTTAGCACCTACTTCTCAGGGTTGTGGGAGGATTTAAAGAGTTAAGCCTTGTAAAGGGCACCTGGCATGTAGTAAGCGCTCATTACATGTTAATTATCTTGTTCACCCTTCTCTAGGAATCTGACTAGTAACCCAGCACTTTCATCCATTCCTCATTCATTCCACGGCCAGGTAGCTCCAGAAGGCCTCCTGAGCTCCAGATGCTCCCCTGTCTGGGGGATCATTTTGTCTTCCAGGTCCTTCCTGAGAGTAACCTCCTCCAGGAAGCCCTCCCTGACTCCCTCAGGATGAGCAAGCTGCCACCACAGGGCTCTTGTGCCTTGTCTCCTGCCATTAGCACTCGCTTCATTCTTGACTGACCTCCGTGAGGATAGAATCTAGATCAGTCTGCTGCCCACAGGGTCTTGAGCACCCAGCTCAGAACCCAGCCCACGCTGGATGCTCAATATCTACGGATTGTGCTCAGAGGATGCGATTGAATGGATGTTCTTTCTTCCCCACAGAATGACTTTCTCACTGGTGTGTTCCCTGCCAGCCCCCTCAGCTGGCTCTTCCTCTTCAGTGCAATCCAGCTCGCCTGGTTCCTCCAGCTGGATCCTTCCCTGGGACTGACGGAGAAGATTAAAGAGTTGCTGCCAGATTGGTGAGTTCCCACTTCAGCCCAGTAACCTCCCTAGTTCCTTTCCCTCCACCTGGTAAGTTTCTCTATCGGTGTGCTGCGCCTGCTAAAGAAAAGGGACAGATTACTAAAGGTACCACATCAATAAAAAAGGAGGTGCTTTTCTCTCTTCTTTCCATCCTGGCTGCTTCTTGTTAAGAGGGATGGTGACAAACTAGAAAATGTCTTAGATATGGTTATGTGTACTGATGCAAGTGTGAACTCTGCTAGTCTCTGATTGTGCACTTTCAGGTAAGAGACTTCACCAGTTTAGGTGTCAGGGTTTTCATTTATTAAATGGGGGTAATAATAATCGCTTCTTAGGGTGGTTGGAAGAATTAAAATCACGCATGTGGAATATTCAGTACGGTGCCAGGAGGTTGTTAAATGGGACCAGTTGTCATATTACAGTTGTTGCTGTCGGCTTTGGGAAGGATTTGGCAACCAGATCATGGTGACCCGGCAGGGTCTAACTCTTGCATAAGTGCCCCTAGGGAAGAAGGAAGATTTGGGGTAGACAGCCCAAAGGCCTGCTCTTGCATTGGAGATAGAAATTTTCAGGAAGATTGGATTTGCCCTGTGCACAGGGGGGAGCGACTCCCCCAGCTCCTCCAGGTGGGATTTGCTCCCATGTCTGTTAGCAACGTTGCAAACTGTAGGCCAGTTTACTGTAGGCCAGTTTACTGTAGGCCAGTTTACTGTAGGCCAGTTTACTGTAGGCCAGTTTACTGTAGGGATTTGCCCTGTGCATAGGGGGGAGCGACTCCCCCAGCTCCTCCAGGTGGGATTTGCTCCCATGTCTGTTAGCAACATTGCAAACTGTAGGCCAGTTTACTGTAGGCCAGTTTCCTAAACTTGAGTTTAATTTGGAACCACCTGGGAAGGCTTGTTCAAACACCAATTGCTGCCCAGCCGGTGTGGCTCAGTGGTTGGGCATTGACCCATGAACCAAGAGGTCCCCGGTTTGATTCCCGATCAGGGCATGTGCCTGGGTGGCGGGCTCCATCTCCAATGGGGGTGCATGCAGGAGGCAGCCAATCAATATCTCTCATTTATGTTCCTATCTCTCCCTCTCCCTTCTTCTCTCTCTAAAATCAATAAAAACATTTTAAATTTATTTTTATTGATTTCAGAGAGGGAGAGGGAAAGAGAGATAGAAACATCAATGATGAGAGAGAATCATTGATCGGCTGCCTCCTGCACACACCCCCTACTGGGGATCGAGCCCACAACCCAGGCATGTGCCCTTGGCCAGAATCAAACCTGGGACCCTTCAGTCCGCAGGCCGACACTCTATCCACAGAGCCAAACCAGCCAGGGCAATAAAAACATATTTTAAAAAGACAACACTGATTGCTACCCTGGCCAATGTGGCTCAATTGGTTGGGTGTTGTCTCATGCACTGAATGGTTGGTTGCTGGTTCGATTCCTGGTCAGGGCACATGCCCGGGTTGCAGGTTCCATCCCTGGTGGAGGGCACTTGGGAGGCAACCAATCGATGTTTCTCTCTCACATTGATGTTTCTCTCTCTCTTCCCCTCTCTCTAGACTCAATAAAAACATTTTTAAAAACCCCAACACTGATTGCTGGACCCCGACCCAACAGATTCTGTCTTACTAGGTCTGGGGGCCCAGGAATCTGCATTCCCAGCAAGCTTCCAGGTGCAGCTGATGCTGTTGGTCCAAGGCCCACACTTTGAGAACCTCGCTGAGAGTATAATTGATATCTGGGAGGGAAAAGTGTCCTTTTAATAGAAATACCACTTATTAAGCACCTGCCAGTTTCCATGAGACGGTGAGAGGTGATTTTAGAAGCTTGGGGTCCCCACAGTCCTGGGAGGAGGAGGGTGCTGCGAGAGGATCCTGCCTCCTTCACAAATGAGGAAACTGGACCCTCTAACTGACTCTAGTCCCACAAGATAAGCCTCCAGCAGCCGGAAGACCAGTGGGAGAATATTAGGGAGGGCAGGGGCCGAGTGAGGCTGGAGGGGAGGGGGGTTCTGAGGCCCGGAGGCCCAGCGCTTCCTCTCTCTCCGCCCAGGGGTGGACAGCACCACAGGCTTCGCGGGGTCCTGGCGGCCGCACTGTTTGCTTCCTGCCTCTGGGGAGCCCTGATCTTCACACTTCACGTGGCTCTCAGGCTGCTGCTGTCCTACCACGGCTGGCTCCTCGAACCCCACGGAGCCATGTCCTCACCCACCAAGACTTGGCTGGTATGTGAGGGGCAGAGCCCTGCTCGGGCCCTGTGGGGGCCTACTTCTCTGTCCCCCCCCCCTCTGGGTCTCTATCCCCCTTTTGGGGGGGGGCGGTATCTGTCCCATTTGCTCTGTGGGTTGCCACACACACCTCACCCAGGTCCCCAGCCCCAGTGAGGGGTTTGATGACCCCCAATCCCCACTTCCCCAGGCCCTGGTCCGCATCTTCTCCGGCCGCCACCCAATGCTCTTCAGTTACCAGCGCTCCCTGCCGCGCCAGCCAGTGCCCTCGGTGCAGGACACCGTGCGCAAGGTGGGCCGGTCCCTGGGGGATGGGAGGAGAGGCGGGCGGGCGGGCTTGGGGGCGTGACCTGCCTACCTCTCCGCCTCTTCCCTTAGTACCTGGAGTCCGTCCGGCCTGTCCTTTCGGACGAGGATTTCGACTGGACGGCGGGCCTGGCTCAGGAATTCCTGAGGCTGCAGGCGTCGCTGCTGCAGTGGTACCTGCAGCTCAAGTCCTGGTGGGCGTCCAATTACGTGAGTCCCCTGTGGGGAAGGCGAAGGTCCCAGCTCTTTCCCCTGACCCGGCAGGGTTACGCCCCGCCCCACGCCCCGCCCACAACCCCTAGGCCCTGCGGCGATTGGAGGACCTAGACACCGGGCATCCTGAGCCCCGCCCCTTACTCAATCTCAGCCCCGCCCCCACGCTCCAATGATGTAAACCCGCCCCAGATGCTCCAATATTCCGAGCTCCTCTGCGCTCTCCAGTACTCTGAACTCTCTGTCCTCTGCCAACAGTGTGAGCCCCTCTCTCCACGCTCTGATGTTCTTTTTAAAGAAAATATATATATATTTTTTATTGATTTCAGAGAGGAAGGGAGAGGGGGAGAGAGAGAAACATCAATGATGAGAGAGAATCATTGATCGGCTGCGTCCTGCACGCCCCCCACTGGGGATCGAGGCCGCAACCTAGGCACGTGCCCTTGACCGGAATCGAACCTGAGACCCTTCAGTCCGCAGACTGATGCTCTATCTACTGAGCCAAACTGGTTAGGGCCTGATTGTTGATTTTTTAATCTCCGATGGGATCGATAAACATATCTTGTTGTGTGCCCAGCCTTTGCCATCGGCAGCATACCTTGGTGCTCACTCCGTGTCACTAATACAGATATACCTTGTTCTTTTTTTTTTTTAAGGGGAGAATGATGATTTTTATTTTTTAAAATATATTTTATTGATTTTTTTACAGAGAGGAAGAGAGAGGGATAGAGAGTTAGAAACACCGATGAGAGAGAAACATCAATCAGCTGCCTCTTGCACACCCCCTACTGGGGATGTGCCCACAACCAAGGTACATGCTCTTGACTGGAATCGAACCTGGGACCCTTGAGTCTGCAGGCCAACGCTCTACCCACTGAGCAAAACCGGTTAGGGCACCTTGTTCTTTTTAACAGCTGTGTAATATTCCACAGCATGAGCGTAGCTTCTAGGTTATTGCTAGTGACTACTCAGGCTGGCCTCCTGCACTGGGCTCCGCCCTCCCTGTCAGACACAGTCAAGTCTGGGGTGGCTGGGCCCTGCCACTGCCCCCCCTGCACTGGCCCTGCCACCCCAGCTCTGCGTCTCTGTGACCGTCCCCAGGTCAGTGACTGGTGGGAAGAGTTCGTGTACCTTCGCTCCCGCAACTCGCTGATGGTGAATAGCAACTATTATATGATGGTGAGAGGGGAGAAGGGGGCTGGGAGCTGAGGAGGGAGTGGGGCTCATAAAATGATAAAAGGTGGGGTTTAGGGTCAGTGACCCAAATCACTGTCTTGGATTCACCATTCGCCCTCTGTTGGGGGCAGGACCCGTCTGTGTTTGGGGATCAGGGGCAAACCTGACCCCAGGCGTTTTGCTGCCCCCTCCTCGGCCCCCAGGACTTCCTGTATGTCACGCCCACACCCGTGCAGGCTGCTCGCGCTGGGAACGCTGTGCACGCCCTGCTCCTCTACCGCCACCGCCTGAACCGCCAGGAGATCCTGCCGGTAAGAGGGCCGCCCCGGGGGACAGAGGCCTGGTCCTGTGGCTGCGGGGCCGCGTGGGCCCCGGGGGGGGGGCAGCTCCCGAGCCTGAGGTCTCCTGCAGACGTTGCTGATGGGAATGCGGCCCTTGTGCTCCGCCCAGTATGAGAAGATATTCAACACCACGCGGGTGCCTGGGACCCAGAAAGGTGAGACCCTCTCTCCCCTCCTGGCTCTGGGAGGCGGGACAGTGTAGCAGCCAAGAGCGTGTGCGCTGGAGCCCGCCTCCGGGTTGCATCCCAGCTCCGTCTTCCCAGCCGTGTGGCCTTGAGCAAGTCACCCTCTCTGGGCCTCAACCTCCCCATCTCTCAGATGGGATAAGGACACAGAGGGTGGTGAGGGGTAGATGGGTGCCCAGAACTGTGCAAGCTGCTTAGGAAGTAGGTGGTTGCTATTATTTTCTTTTAATATATATTTTTATTGATTTCAGGGAGGAAGGGAGAGGGAGAGAGAGTAAAAAAATCAATGATGAGACAGAATCATCGATGGGCTGCCTCCTGCACGTCCCCTACTGGGAATCGAGCCTGCAACCCGGGCATGTGCCCTTGACCGGAATCGAACCAGGGACCCTTCAGTCTGCAGGCCGTGGCTTTAGCCACTGAGCCACACCAGGGCGTAGTTGCTATTCTTTTTTTTTTTTT